AATATGTGAAACAGCCATCTTGGAGATATATACCTACAGGAAAATCCCCCTCCCTCATATCTTGATACTGCCCAAAACAACAATGCTACAGATAAAGTTCATTTCTTATTTTTCTAAGAATAGATACAAACAAATGCCAGAAAATAAAATCTTACTGTAATCTAGAATACCAGTACCGCAAGAACATTAGTTCATTTAGCCAGAGGATGCTCATGAAAATACAAGAGCCTGAACTCCTGTGTGCTGAATTATTAACAGGAGAGACAAATGGACCACAGTATGCTGCTTCTGAGATAGTACAAGCCTTCATAACAGTGGACATTTCAGAGCTTTTTTTTTTTAAAACACCCTATAAACATTGACTAGCCAAAATGTTTTACTCACAGTAATGTAACAGGTAGCTGCAGAATATGCTGGTTTCCATCCAGATTCCAAATGTTACTCTCATCTCCCTGCACGTCTTCCCCCCTCTCCCCACATTTAGACCGGCAACACTTTTCTACAGTGTCATATTTTATGTACACAGTCTGCTGGCAAAATCTGGTCTGATGCTTTCATTTACCTGCCTACAAACTGTCTGAGTGACTGAAAGCTTTTGCAAACTGCTGTGAAAATATTCAAGAATCACAAGAAATTGTAATGTAATAATTCTTGCCACATATGGAGAGAAAAAAAAGGAGGGGAGGAGAGAACCTACACAGATGCTTAATTATCCTAATGAGGCTACCTGCAAAGGCTTTTTTTTTTGCACATCAGGCTTATTTTAAAAAATTCCATACAAATGGAAGTCATGCAATCCCACACAAAACCTAAATGAACCTCAATATTTATCCATTTTGGCAGCAGTTGGCAGTGATGTCAGAGACCCCATGGACTGTGATTTTGGGGACTCCTGGGCAGTGGGTGGTAGGCCAGCAGAAGCCCAGTTCTATCTCTTTAGCCCAGTTCAAATACAAGCCCTCAACTGCTGCCAAGATGCATATACGTTAAGACTCATTTAGGTTTTGTGTAGAATTGCATGGCTTCTGATTGAACTGCACAAAAGGTAGCCAAGGATTCTATTTCCAATATCTCCCAGTCCAATCCCAACAGGATCCCCACCATTCAGAAAAATTCTGCTGCAATACTAGAATCATAATATGACTTTATTTTTTTGGCCAGCCTCACTACTGCATAATGGATACATCAAAAGTCCTTGCTGTTCTTCAATTATATTTACTCTGAGACCTATGCCACCTACAGTCTAGCTTCCACCCAGCCTGTTTCACTGCACTGTTTCATGTGCAGTTTGTTGTGGCACCAGAGCTCTTTGACAAAGAAGGCTAAATAGCTCAAAACACTAAAATTCCCAGGATTCTATAGCACTGAGCCATGGCAGTAAAAACAGTGTCAAACTGCATTATTTCTGCAGTGCGGATGAAGCCAAAGACTCCAGTCTACTTTATCAGATACAGATATTTTTTTTACGTTTAGCCTACTTGATATTACCATATACTCTCGTACAAGTCAACCTCAGGTGTCAGTCGAGTGAAGGTTCCAGGGTCAAAATCATGGGTTTTGATATGACCTGTGGATAAATTGCAGATAACCTAAGGGGTTATAACAAAGGATGGAAAGGGGAAAACACTACTTCTGTCCCTCCTTCTCCTTCTCTGGACCTCTCCTGACCACCTAACACGACTTCCCAGGTGCTGGAGGAGAGATTTTAATATTGGGTTGGGAAGGAAAGGAAGTGGAGTTAAATGGGGTGTTTCTTTGATGGGAAGAGAAGGCTATCAAATTGGACTGGGAAGGTAAAGAAGTGGAGTTAAATGGGGTGTTTCATTGATGGGAAGAGAAGGCTTTCAAACTGGACTGGGAAAGTAAAGAAGGAGTTTAAAGGGGTGTTTCTTTGATGGGAAGAAAAGGCTTTCAAATCAGACTGGGAAGGGAGAGTAGTGGAGCTAAAAGGGGTGTTTCTCTGATGGGAAGAGAAGGCTTTTAGATGAGACTGGGAACCTTTTTCACACACACACACACACCTGCCTCGAGGCACAAATAGTGGGGTATTAGGCAGTGCTTGTTTCAGTACATTTCTAAGCAGTATTAGGGTATTGACATGTATATAAGTCAACCCAGGATTTTAGGGTCAATTTTGGGGCATACATTTCTTGACTTATAGTCAAGAATATACGGTATGTGTCAAAATAATTACACATATGCAAGGAATATTACAACATTCTAACACTTGTTATGCAGATATGTTTACTACATAGAAGCAAAATGCAAACACCTCTCCTCAAGGATGGATGCTCTGTACTTTGGGAAGATATGGGAGCACGTTCTGTCTCTTTTGAATAGTCCTAAGTAAAATCCCAGTCCTTCCCTATTTGCTGCTTTAATTTAATGACCCAGTTTTTATACTCGATGAGGCACATATCCAACTATATTCCATCCATCCATCCGAACTGGGAATTGGCACTATATCTTCCCAAAACCTTTAGATCACAGAGCAAGTTTATATTATAGGCCACCTGCTTCATAGTGATTGAGCATTTATTCATATTGCTCATTTCATGTGTGTTACTTCCAGAAGTTCTTGGAATTATTTACTTCTTTGTACTGCTAGCATTAATAAGCATTAATAAATAGAATAGAATAGAATATTGCTGTTGTGTGCCTTTAAGTAATTTCTGACTTATGATGATTCTAAGGCAAGCCTAACACAGGGTTTTCATGACAAGATTTGTTCAGAGGGGTTTTTGCCAGTGCCCCCATATCTTTTTCCTTGTGTGACAGTAGTGGTAGTGGTGATAGCAAAGACAAGGTGGTCCCCCTTGTCTGTAGAGACCATGAGGTACAGGGCTTTGCCCACATAGAGGGATGAGGCAGCGGTGGCAGCTGAGTTTTCTTTAATTTGTGCCACTTTTCTGTAACCTGATGCCTCCAGATGTGTTGGACTGCTGCCTCCATCATCCTAAGCAGCACACCACCTACTACTATTCCATCATCCCCAGGGTGACTAGATGTTCTAACTGCAAAGGAAGACAAGGCACTACAAAATATAGGACATTCAAGAAAAATGTAGGACACTACCAATTTTTTTTAAAAAAAATCATCAGAGCCTGGAAAGTTATACAGTCGCTGTCCGTATCCATGGATTCTTTATCCATGGATTCAAGTATTCACAGCTTGAAATATATTCCCCAAAAATCCAAATCCAAAAAGCAAATCTTGATTTTGCCATTTTATATAAGGAACACCATTTTACTGTGCCACTGTATTTAATGGGACTTGAATATCCATGAATTTTGGTATCCATGGTGTGTGTCTGTGTGTGTGTGTCTTGCAAGCAAACCCCAGCAGATACCAAGGGCCCACTATGTTCATGTTATTTGTTATAGTGCTTAACAATTAATCTGCAGTCATTATTCATTATGATGTTTAAACAATGCAACTTTTTGCACTGCTCAGTGTATTGCTTATTGCTTTTCTGTTACTTTCCCTCATCTTTTAAAAAGAAGTGCTAAAAGAATACTATAAAATCTGAAAATTCTGTCAAAATGCCTAAAATGTCTTTAGAATGTAACTTTGAAAAGTAATTAGAAAAGTCTGACTAATGTCACTTCATCTCCATTTGCCACATTATTTTGGGAATGTACCAAAAGTCACATATTCAGTCAATGTTACTTGTAATCCATTGCTTCCAAGCTCTGGATAGAATATCAAGATGTTTGATTTGCAACACTTTTCAATGACATATATTTATACATGGCATTATGTTTCAGGAAAAAAACTCGCCTCCCAAAAATATAGTTTAAAGCATGATCATATATTCTTGGCATCTGCCTATACCAAATCAGAAATTACTTCAATGGACACAGAACAGATATGCACATTAATGGAGCCTTAAGTTGCAAGTGATGAATGATAATAATTTAGTGACAATAATGCTCCAGGCCTGGCAAGATGGAAAGAATGCACTCAATCTCAGAGAAATTTAACAGCAAAAAGGAAAGTACAACTTCTGTGGAATGCAAAAAAAGAAAAAAAAGAAAAGAAAAAAGAAGCTATTTCATGCATTGTAAAACAAAATACCAATGTATGTTTGACAATAAAGATGAAAAGAAAAAAACCAGCTTGTTCTCTTGTTACATATCACACACTGATAATATGCACAATCATACACAACATAGTTTTGATTGTAATGGTATCAGTAGTAGTGATATAGATAGTAGTTGCTCCATGCAGCCACCTATTTCCTAGTAGTCACCAGCTCATTATTCTACCTGGTCAGTGCCCACATATCTTTTCATAGCACTACCATTCTTTCTGGCACTTACAGCAGTGCCATCGTGTGGCAAAAATTTCATGTACTGTCATGGATTCCTTGACCACATGAGAGAGCCACAAGCAGGTACTGAACTGCCACCATTCTCACCAATCAGTGCAATGGAATATATGGAAAAACAATGGAATACATGGAAAAACAGATTTATAAAATGAATCATACAGACTAATACTACAATTACTGGGCATTTATTTAGATGAAACGAATAACAGAGGATAAAGAATAAAGGAAAGACATAAGATGCTGAATAGACATAATTCAAATTATATGAGAAATATGTGGAGACAAAAGAATGACCCTAAAGAAAGCAGATCAAGGAACTACCCACAACAAAATGTCACACTAGATCCTCAACCAGACTGGATCAGGAGCTGAGGTTAGTTTTTGGAGGTAGGAAGAGAGAAAATGAGAAAAACTTTCTTTCTTTCTTTCTTTCTCTTTCTTTCTTTCTTTCTTTCTCACCTTCCTGAAATCTTCCCTTGCTGTTTCTTGTTGTTGTGTGCCTTCAAGTTGTTTCCAACTTATGGAGACCCTAAACTACATACTAATTAAGACCTACGATTTGGGGTTGTCTTTCAGCCTTTCAAAACTGAGTGTTTTATTGTTCTCTAGTAAGAGAGGACAATTTGTGGTCCTCTAGATATTGCTGAACTATAAATCATCCTTCAGAGCCAGGGTGGAGTAGTGGTTTGACCACTGGGCTTTGACTCTGGAGACCAAGGTTCAAATCCTCACTCAGTCATGGGAACCTACTGGTGACCTTGGGCAGATCATCTCCCTCAGCTTCAGAGGAAGGCAAAAACAACCCACCTCTGAACAAATCTTGCCAAGAAGACCGTGTGACAGATTTACCTTAGAGTTGCCACAGGTCAAAAATGACTTCAAGGGACACAACAACAACAAATAAATCACTGTCCTTGGCCAGTTCTGTACAGACTGGAGCTGATGGAAGTTGGAGTCTTAACTCCTCGCTAGTGTTGAATATTGGAGAATCTGTGAATTTGTTGACAGTGAAAAGGAAAATAGCAACTTCCCCACACAGCACAGATATGAACGTGGTTGACCTCAACCTTTTCCTCACTAAAGAGGTAACACAATCCTAGTGAGAGCCATTGCTTTTGTATTCTGGAATGGCCTGCCTTTAAACATGAAGAAGAGACAGGCCCTGTTCATCATAAGGTTTTGTTATTGTTGCAGTCATTTGGTTGGTTAAATGGGTTTGGCATAGGGATGTGTGAGAAATTCATTTTGCTTAGTAGTAGATGGTAGCTGTCCAAACCATTGTATTCCCCATCACCATATACAGTGTGTGAGAGCTGAACAGTAAAAAAAGCAGATAAGATAAAAATCAACTGATTTGAGAAATGGTGCTGGAGAAGAGTGCTGAGGATACCATGGACAGTAAAAAAGACAAACAAATGGGTCCTTGAACAAATCAAGCCTGAAATCTCCCAAGTTGATCAAATTGAGGTTGTCATACTTTGGCCATATCATAAGAAGGCACAACTAATTAGAAAAGACAATCATGCTAGGAAAGGTAGAGGGCAAGAGAAAGAGAGGAAAGCTGTCTGCTAGATGGACAGACTCAATTAGGAAAGTCACACGTCTGAACGTGCAGGACCTGAGCAGAGCAGTGGATGGCAGAAGATCTTGGAGGTGTTTCATCCACAGGGTTGCCATGAGTCAGGGCCCACTCGAGGGCAGTTGACAATAAAAGATGGTAGTTTTCCTATCAGTGGAGTGGGGAATGTACTCCACATTTAGTTCAAGATGCTGCATCCAATTTTCAAAACACATTTAGCATGTTGGATAGCTCCATTAAGGTTCTGACAAATATCTGGAGCAGATTCTCAACCAGCTGTTATGGGTGTGGATTGCACTGCACTGCAATCTGAACCAATGAACTAACCCAATTTGTATTTCTTGAACAGAAACAGGAATGTTCTTTGCTGTCAAAATCTGTACATTTTCAAATTTCACAACACAGTTTGGAAAAAAAATGTAAAGAAAAAATCCATCTCAAACATGTCACTATAAAATATGCGTATTTACAGAGTGGAGGAGTTTAGGAAAACAAATGCTTCATTTATTTGAAAACTGCTGGAAAAATATGTGTTTTTTGGATCCTACTCTGGGAGGATAGCATATAAATGAAATGAAATGAATGAATAAAATGTATTTGTGTGTGTGTTTTAAAATGCATATGAGCATATAAGCAATTTTTCATACTGAAGGCCCCCACATCACAATCCTAAGAGGAATTAGGATGGTTTGACTTTGTATAAAATGAGAGGCTGAGTTAATTCAACAGAATTGTCTATCTCTTTTTTGGGGGCTGTTTTTGTAATTATTGACTAATGTAACTTTATGATTTTATCTTATCATGCCATTCTTAAATGCCGGATGCTACATAGAATGTCAGGTAAGTGATATATAAGTATTTTATATCAATCAGTCAACAAGATTATGTTGTCCTAAAAGATCTTCCGACTTTTCCGTGGAAAGAATAGAAGCTCTAAAAAGGGAAGGAAAAAGGAACATCAAGACACCACATCACTGTGGAATACTTACTCCAGGAAAAGTCAGTCTGCCCTCTGCAGGCCTATTGACAAGAATGTTACTATTCCCTTCCATGACTCAATTATATGACTCCTGTGGATATCACTATTCCTAACTACCACTGCTGCTTCTTCTACACAGAATTGTATAGCACTAGGTTATGTCTATGACAGGTAATAAGATTTGGCCATACATTTGCTCCTTTCCCATCTTCTGGGACTATGATCTTTTGCCTTTTTACCTACTGTCTGGTAGGTAAAAAGGAAGAGAAGATGGGGAGGGGGAAGGAATGTAGCACCACCTTTAAGACTAACTGATTTTTATTTTAACATGAGCATTCATGGATATAAATCTGTAAACTAACATGACTACTTTCTTTAAAACTACCATGTTGTAAATAATGGTTCTGAGACTCGCTTGGGTGACGATCAACAGGAATTGACCAGTATACTAAGATGGTTCTTTTCTAAATTTACTTACTCCATTTTGAACTTCCGTTATATTAGATACAATCCTGAAAACTATAAACTGTTAAATCCAAGCTTTTAAATCAAGTTTACCTGTCTGTAATTTCTAGGATCCTATCGAGAGATGGGATTGTGCACATATGTCTATGTGAAAGCCTGGCATTTCATCAGCCCTTTACAAATTGTCTTGTATGGGAGGAGATGTCAAATAAATAAATAAATAAATAAATAACTAGGCACTAGTCAGTGTTCCACTTTTCATGTTCAAGTGCCTTGTGAAATCTTGGATGAATACCATCTGGTTTTGTTGAATTGTCATTCTTTAAATCAAAGAATTTACTCTAAAATCTTTTCTATGCATACTTCAGCATGCAACTTTTCTTCCAATTCACCACCCAAGAAGAATAGTTCAAACGTTGGTCATTCTTCTATATCTTCTTTTGTTACAAGAGATGCAAAGAACTCATTTATCCTGTCATCCATGAGTGCACCTTGGAGGTCGAACAGCCCTACTCTTCTTTTGGCAGGGTTCTTCTTTCCAATTCATTTCAGAAACAACATGGTAGGCTTGAAAATAGTTTTAATCAGCTGTAACCCCAATACTCCTTTTTATTATCAACTTACAATATACTTGCCAACATTTATGTTCTTGTTTTTCCTAACATGGATTATACTTCTACTCTTCAGAAGAAGATGTTCCCCCCTTCTTTTGGCTTCTAGATTTTAGTTTCAGACAACAGTTTTCTTTCACACTCTCTTCTCACACACAAACACACTGCACACTCATACCACACAATGACACACTTGTATGTAAAGAGATAGCTGTATCAGTCTGCACCAATATCAAAAGAAGTAGTTTTTTGAGACCTTAACTAATCTATTCCAAGATAAAGTTTAATGGACTACAACATTCCTCCTCAGATATAGGGGTGTATGGTAGGTTAACACAGTTGTTTATTTAGAACACAGTGTATTCTTTCTGTATTATCTGTCACTCACTCTTCTAAAACTTCTGTATTATCATCAGTCATGTGTCTAAAACTTAAACTTTTGTATTTTAGTGGCAAACATGAGGAACAACTCAGATTGAGGCCCCTTTGAGTATGGAGGAATGCATACAACACATCTAAACCCATACCTTCATACAGCAAAATGAAAACCTATGAATAAACTGAGAAAAAAGAATACTAACTTTAAAATTGGCTAATAAAGCAATTTCTGGAGGCACTGAGTGCACATGAGTTTTAAAATAAGCTACTACATTAGTAGAAAGTTGTGAAAAACTACCACAGGTCATATCCCCGCCCTCTAACACACAATTTGTTATCCATTCAGGTTTTATGGTATTTCTGCTTTTTCTAATCTTGATATTAGTCTCCATAATGGAAAATTAACGGCTGAAATAATAGTAAGGGAGTAGAGTTAGTGGCTGGAAATTATGATACAGTATAAGAATTTTTCATTACCATCATTTCAAAACATGAAGCTTCACACTGTCTGCTCATAATGGTGGCTTATCTAAAGATGTCTAATGGGACTACATGCGAAAGTGAACCCAAAGGATGATTGTGTAACATTTCAAAAAGAGCTGAAAAGCATCTGTAATGTTTTGTAGTGATTAAAAATTCTAGATTTCTTTAAGTCACCTAACCCCCTTCCCCTTTGCTTACTCCACAAAAATAACTCACCTGGGTTAATGGTAATAAATCTGTTGTCTTTTGGCAAAGTTGTCACTG